TCCTACCATATTCAATAGAGAGAAATATGCACCTGTGAGAAAATAGCTAGTTGAGAGAAATTTTGTGCACACATAACTAAGTGTTCTTGGTGTTCTTGTGTAATCTCAGTAGTTATCGAAATACAGCTGACTTGACTATTTCTTTGAAGATTACTGTTTCTTTGTCATTTCTGCTTAACCTTTCTAGTATCTTAGTTATTGCTTTCGCTCACTTGTTGACTTAAGCTTTGATTACTAGTGCATGTGAGGATCTGGGTTCCTACAATTGGTATCAGAGCCTTCTAATCGATCTATTGATTAGTTGCATATAATCCATAAAGGATATCCTCTTTTGCTTGGTTATTTTGTTTTCGTTGAAATCGGTTTTCATTCTAGATCTCAGTTTTCCTGTGAAAATCTGTAGATCTCATTTATTTATGTGAAGATAAAAGTATTTGAATCTATTCTCCAAGGTTGCATAAGTCAAGTCCAATTTCTGCACTCTAAAACCTCAAGTTTTCTGTTCCACCCTATTTTTTTCCTTCAGAAAATGTCAAATCAATCCTGAAGTTCAATGTATAGTGCTGGAGCCCTCACCAAACCACCTATTCTCATTAGGTATGAATATCCCCAGTGGAAGATTAGGATGATAAACTTCTATGAAGGCCTTGACCTGGAACTTTATGAATCCATAAAGAATGATCCTTATGTTCATATGACCCTGAGTCCCAGGGTTCCTGCTACTACAACCACTGCTGAGGTTCCTGCCCCTCGAGCTTCTAAGGCTAGAAGGGAGTGTGACAATGAAGATAAGCGAAAGGTTGAGCTTGATCAAAAAGCCAAAAGGCTATTGATTATGGCACTTCTCAACAAAAAATTTTAGTCCCTGGATGCCTATGATTCTGCGAAGGATCTATGGGATCAATTGCCTAACCAGCTTGAAGGAGAAATAAAGATGAGAAGGAATCGTCAGGCCCAATGCTTGAACGAGTACAAAAACTTTCAAGCTCTTCCTGTTGAGTCATTAGAACAAATTTATCATTAGTTCAACACATTGATCAACAAATGTAGGAAATGTGATGTTGTGAGAACCCAGAAAAAGAACAACATGTTGTTCTTGAAGTGGTTGATTGATAAATAGGCCAATCTTTTTATCTCTCTAAGCCAATCAAAATCTGGAGCAGTGGACACTACACGACGTGTACATGACTCTATAGGCACAGGAAAAGGAGGTACATATGAAGAAGGTCACTCTAGGTGGTCCTCTAGCTTTAGTCTTTGATTCTAAAGAGGTTGGATTGGATAGGACATCTAGAGAGATGAGGACTGGAGAAGAGAAGTGGAGAAGAAAGAAGGCATTGGTGATTGAGAGTAAGGTGGAAGACAGAGTGTCTAGCTCTAATGATGATGATATTAGTGCTTTTCCATAATCCTTGGCTCTCATCACCAAGAAATTCAACAAGAAATTTAGGAAGAGGATGTCTGAACGAAGGGCAGGGATAACAAGAGAGATAGAGAGGTACAAGAAACAGGAATTCAGGCCCAGGAGTTCTCCTCAACAAATTGTGAAGAAAGAGGAGAAGCTGCCAGAGAAAACGAATTAGAGTGACAGATGTTATCGTTGCGACAAACCCGGTCATTTCTCCAAAGAGTGCAAAGGTCCTCTAGTCAAAGATAGTCTGTACTACAAAAACAAGTACATATACAAGAGGCCACAAATGAGCCTCATGGCCGAACAAGAGATTTGGGTCTCTGACTCAACCACCGATGATGAATCCCAGGTGCACTTATGCAGGATGGCTATTGATAATGATGATGACGCAGAAGCATCTGGCTCTGGCTCTGACTTTCATATATTCTCTATATCTGGCTCTGAACATTCTGAACTTGAACAAATCATTTCTATTTTGACAAATGATTTTCAAAAACTCCAGAAGAGGCTTTAAAGAGAGAAGGAAAAGAGAAAAAAACAATTGAAAAAGAATTTTTTTTTTCAAAAAAGAAACAGAGATTCTGACTGTTGAGAAGGAGGAGCTCTCTGTGGAAAATCAAAAGATTTTGAAAAAACCAAGATTTCCACAGAGAATGTCTTTAAATCAGAGTGTTGTAACTGAAAAAGGCTCAAGATGAGAAAGACAATAAGATTGCTAAAAAAGAGCGTGATAGACTTAACTTTTTGTCTCTTAAAAGTTATTTTCAAAAGAAAAGAGAGTTTCTGTACCAAAGCTTGCAAAGAAAAGAGCTCTTGATAAAAACAATATCAAGATGCTTAGCAGGTGTATGAAAAAATTAATGCTCAACTGGACAAAACAAGGCTAGGTTATGTAGACCTAGACCTTTTCACCTAGAAGAAGAAATCTTCCTTTGAATCTGTCTCTTGTTTAAGAAAAGAGCAAAAATCTGATTTTCCAACTCTACATGAACCATATTCTTTTAAAAGATCAAAACTTAAGAATGGAGCCAGAGCAAGAAGACTAAAATTCAAAAACACCTCTTACTCTTCTATCAAAAGTATGCATAAACCAAAACAAGTAGATTTAAAAGGCATACAGAAGAAGCAGGAAATTTTCTGCTTGGTAACCAAGATCAAAGTGCTTCAACTCCAAAGGATGATGATTTCATTTATGAACTAACAGAGACAAGGGATAGAAAAGAATATGAAAAAGATTTCCTAAAAACTCTGAATCTGTGCTTATTATCCGAGTTCATAGAAAAAGTGGGACAAGTCTTTGAGCATGATCTTCTTGAAGTTCTGGATCACTGCTCTGTGTCTCAACAAAAAAAAACTAGAGAAGATTTCCAGATATTGTTTTAAATGTACCTTTGTTGGAACCCATAATCCTCTTATGTATCAGTTAACACAATATAGAATAGAGTATGAATGGAAGGGACTGCTGAGTTATTGAAATGGTTAACAGATTTGATCAAAGACAAATATGAATGAAAACAAGTTTGAATAAATCAGTTGCTTTGATTAGAATAAGAGATTACAAGTAAACTCTCAATTATCAACAAGTTCTCACAAGAATTCTCTATAGTAGGAGCGTATAAGAATTTGGCCATTCGAGTCATTTTGACCCAAAGAGGAGACCTCCTTTTATACGACCAGGTACAAACAAAATCTGTTATATTCTAGGATTCAAACTCTGACTTCTTGTTCAGAGTCTTCTGCTTTCACGTTCCTTGAAATGTGGAATCATTTCTACGTACGTGTCAGATTCTAGATGGAGACTTGGAGATAAGTTGAAATCACTTGTGCCCAAACTAAGGGTATAGGAGACTCATATGCTCTGCATGTATAGTTTAGAGGCTCTGTGTCTGGAAGAGTAGCTCTGTATCAAGTCTTTAATCTTTTTTATGCTTAAGAGTTGATCTTCCTCTATTTGAGCACGGACTCTGCATGCGAGGTTCTTGCTCTTTGTGTAAGAGAGCTTTGTCTCTTGGTGACCTCTACATCGGAGCTCTTGGTCCAGACAACTTCTAAGACGAAGTCCTATTTGACTAGCGTAAGAGGCTTATTACTTACACTTTTACAAATAGAGTTCTAAAAATCTCCCCCTAAGTGTAAATAAGCAAGACTCTTACTTGAATGAACATTTCTATCTAAAATATTTACAGATAGTGGAAATAAAAATTACATAATTAAGAGAAGTTGTAAAAAGGTACTTACAAAAGAGACATCTAGGGATACTGAAGTTTCATGAACCTCCTAAGAAGTTCAAGAAACTCAAGCACATTTTCAATTGATCTTATAAGCATATTGGCTCTCTCTTTTGCTCCAGGGGTTGTATCTCTGCTTTTGATGATATTGTTCTTGATGAACCACATAGTTGAATTTGAGTATTTGAACACCTTCTCTCCATGCATATTTCTAAAGACCACCCCTAGCTCTAGCTCCACGATAACCATCCAGGAGGGGACATACTTGATGCCTTCAAGTTTCTCATTTGGCATTGTGACACCAAGTTGGTCAACCCCCATGTTTAGAGCTATTTGAATGTCTACCTTGCACCAGAAGTCAAGCAGGTCAGTCATCGTTTGTCTGATAGCAGAGTTTGTAAGAGCATACTTCATCCCTTTGTCCTTCTTGTGATCTATGAAGAAGTACAAGGTAAGAAGATCTTAAGGGTTGAGATTAATTTGATCGTAGCTTGTGAAGACGTTGATCTGCCCTAAAATCGTTCCACCATGTACTTGTGAAAGATGATATGGTTGTGTGCGAAGGTCTTCTTATTTATGTTCAGTACTTGCTTGATCCCATCCACAAAATGGACTTCAGAGATTGGTTGTGTATACCAACGAAGGAAACTTTTATGGATGTTCTTCTATATCATCGGGTGTTGATTGAACTTTATGCTTGGCGCTTCATCCCTCTGATTGTATAGGTATTGGAAGATCTCTTCATTTTCAGCGGTGTCTTTAATATGATTATCTCTTGGGATGGGTATCCTCATTGCATCCATTTGATCCTTGATCTCTTGAACTCGATCTTAGGATGGTTTGGTGCTCTGAGGCCTGCTGCTGCTTGCTTGTTCATTTCGTGCTCTGACAAGACGAGTTGATTGCAGTGCAAGTGTGACTATTTTGGTTCCTTTGATAGGGACCTTCACTCTGTGTGTCTGGAAGTATGAAGGTGGCACGACGATTGTAACTTTGGGAGGAAGTGGCATAGCCATTGGAGGAGGCCTCGAAGCTCTTGGTGGCTCCTCCTCTGGCTCGATGACATTTACTACCACCTCCTCTGCGTCTACCCCCATTGTTGGAGCCATCTCAATGAAGCTCTTTGATGAAGATGATGCAGATTGAATTGGTGAAGAGGCATAGACGGATAAGAGTTGAATCACATCCTCTCCATCAAGTAAAGACTTTGGCCCCTCAGTCTTCTTTTTCTCTCGAGAGGCAGATTCCCTCTAAACGTGCTTTAGCTCTAGTTGTGCCATTGAAGTGTTGGCTTGTTGGGTTGGAGCAGGCACTTGAGATGGTGCAGAGGCAGAGGGGTCAGCTTGTGCTTCTTGAGCCTACTACTTCGCCCCCTGTTGGTGACTTTGAGGGCCAGACTGGTCTGGTTCCTCATCATCGTCAAGCCTCCTCTTCTTTGCTGTTTCCCTGTAGGTAAAGGAAGGCTTTGGCAACTTCCTCTTCTTCTTTTTGTTTAGCTTTACGGAGGGCATTGCCTTGACATTTGTATCCAAGAGCTCGACTATGTGAGCTGCTACTTGGGTGGCCTTGTTGATTTCCTCATCGACGCAGAACTTGAAGACAGCTAGCGAGCATCGCATTTCTGCAGCCGCCTGCTTGGCCGTGTTATTGAAGTCCGATGTGAAATCAGCCACCTGTTGGAGTAGATGATCACCCAGAGCTCTCATCTCTGTCTGGGTGATGTAGTCGGCAGGGACGCTCAGTGGGACAAGTGCTTGTTCGTCATTGGTCGCCTTGGAGGATGAAGCGGCCTCCCTCTGAATGAGATTTACGACCCTTTGCAGGGTCTCGGTGTGTGTATCCGTCAATTCCATGAGGCGTTCTGTGATCCCAGATCCAAGTCATAACAATCAAAGATGATCAAGAAACTTTTTTTACCAGCACCAGGAAATTTTTAACTCATAAACTAATAATCCTCAAAATTTGAATAATCTCCCCTCTTATGAAACAACAAACTCTTTGCAGAAATAATCTTTTCATTCACCCCCCTTGAACTTTGCATCAAAATAATCTTTAGCAATTATCAGCACATATCTATCAACTCCTTGAAATCTTTGACACCTTCCCCGATATTCAGAAATTGACGCAGAAATATTCATTCATTTTCAATATAAACTCCCCCTTTTGATGAAAATGAGGAGCATTTACATCATACACTGAAATAAATGATCCATATAGGAATGCCGTCAATTCATAAAAAGTTAAGCAAATCTTTTCAAATTCACTTATATAATCTTTTCAGATTATAAAGGTAAAGGAAAGAACCAGATTCAACTTATGAGCGTGTTTTCAATCTTTTAGAAGGATTGGCCTGTGAAAATAATAGATATATTCAGTACAACGAATGTACTTCATATATGAGATATTTTAATGTTCATCTCACCAGGATTTCCATTCCATCATTGATAGCTTTAAAAAGCGTATCTATGAATGTTATGATAGAATAACAGATATTTTGTAAAATTTGTGCAGTGAAGAAATGATAAAGCAACTAATGCTCCAAATTAGGCTCAAAGAGATAGACAGTGTGGACTACACAAATTTATTAGACTCAATTTGTGATCAACAAGACTTGAAGGGGGGACATATATCCTTTTTTAAATTAGTTATCTCCAAATGAGAAACCGATAGATTATGAGCTATGATCCCAAGTGTTAGTGAAACACTTATCTTTTGAGAGATAAATGAGTAGTTGGTGGGGTTATTAACAAGAGTTGGCATGGGCTTTGCCTTTTTCAATATTAGTCTCCAAAGAATTGAAAACTAATAGATTGTGTGGTTGCTCTGATTATAATAGATAGAACATGATTCTTTTAATCTTTTAATCCTGGTCACAACTCTCATTAATTCTTTTAGCTCACTTCAACTACCCCTCTCATTCACATTTTCAACTCTGCACACAAACCCATTTTGCATGTAAGCTCACTCAGATATGATTGTCCTCTTGAGTAGGGCTGTCGGTTCTGACTGTCCATAGAGGTATTTTTGTTAAGCTCTCAGTCCCTCCTAAATTTTTTACATTTTAAGCTCATTTGATCACAAATGATTGATCAAAAATAATATTGCAATTATGAACAATTGATCAGATGAAAAATTGATCAAAAAATAATTTTGCAATTAAGTACATGAACAATTAAGGAGTGATGTACAATTCAGATTATTCAAAAATATATCGTGAGAAAAGAACGAAAATCTGTTAGAACAAGTTTACAGATTTACAAAAAATCAAAGAATGAAGAGTTATGTATATTAATGAAAGAATTATTTTCATTTAAGCTCAAAACACAATATAGAGTACAAACGAGTGTATTATCACCGAAAATGATTTATCATTTTAGAGACTTGATAATAACGATAGGAAGAATAGCTGAATCATGTATTAGAATTAGGTACGAAGAGAAAATACGCAAGTATAGTCTTAAAGAAATACATGTTCAGAGAAAGTACTCGTTTCCAAAAAGAATCAAAAAACAAAATCATTTAAAATTCACACTTCTTGGAAATGAAAAACGTTTAAGTTTAAGAAGTGGTTTGAACATTTAGAAAAACATTTATATATACAAAGAAGTTGTTCTTCTTCAATGTATATTCAGATAAAGTTCAGAATGATATACCTGACAAGCACGATAAATCAGATGTTTATGATTTGATGAATTCCCCCTAGATGTTACATTTAAGAAACACTCAAACAAGTGATTAGAATTTTGCAATTTAGCACAAAGAGATCAAATACAGATAAAAACATTTAAGCCCTAGCTCCCCCTAGAAAAATGAACTAGATTTTATACAGACAGATTGAGCATTTCAAGCTTGCTTACTAAAAATGAAAACCTTCTCATCGAGAGGTTTTGTAAAAATATCAGCAAGTTGAAAATCAGTCTACACAAAATGCATCTCAATTAATCCTATTTCTACATTATCCTTAATGACATGATACCTGATATCGATGTGTTTGGTCTTTGAGTGTTGAACTGGATTAGTAGTTATTGTAATCGTGGTTTTTGAATCATAGTTGATAGGAACTTTATTAAATGTGTATCCGTAGTCTAACAAATGTGTCTTCATACACAAAACATGTGAACAACAACTAGCTGCTGCAACGTATTCTACTTCAGCAGTAGAAGTAGAAGCATATTTTTGCTTCTTCGAAGTCCAACTGACTAGTTTGTCACCTAAGAACTGACATGATCCAGAAGTGCTCTTTCTATCCAGTTTGCAACCTACATGGTTAGAATTAGTAAATGCAGTTAGCTCAAGACCAGATTTTTTTGGATACCAAAGGCCCAAATTTTGAGTGTAATTGAGATATCTACGAATTCTCTTTATCGCGACAAGATGTGACTCTTTAGGATTAGCCTGATATCTTGCACAAAAACATGTTGCAAACATTATATCTAGTCTACTTGAAGTTAAGTACAGTAAAGATCCAATCATGGCACGATAATTTTGTTGATCAACAGATTTTTTAGATAAATCCGCATGCAATAAAGTACCAGTGGCTATGATCTTTATCGAAGAACAATTGGACATATTAAATCTTTTCAGAATATATTTAATATATTTGGACTGATTAATGAATATGCCATTGGAAAGTTTTTTTACTTGAAGACCAAGAAAGAAATTTAACTCTCCCATCATACTCATTTGAATCTTAGATTTCATGATGTCTGAAAAATTCTTGCAAAACATAGGATTCGTAGAACCAAAAATAATATCATCAACATATATTTGAATCAAGATCATATGCTTACCTTGCTTTTTAAGAAATAACGTAGTATCTATCATACCTTTCTTGAAACTAGAGTTCAGTAGGAATTGAGTTAGAGCATCATACCATGCTCTAGGAGCGTGTTGCAAACCATATAAAGCTTTATCTAGAACATAGACATGATCCAGTTTGAGTGGATCAACAAAGCCTTCTGGCTGACTCACGTAGACTTCTTCGTGAAGAATACCATTCAAGAATTCCGATTTGACATCCATTTGGTAAACCTTAAAATTTTTATGAGCAGCGTACGCCATAAATATTCAGATAGCTTCAACGCGTGCGATTGGAGCAAAGGTCTCATCATAATCAATACCTTCTTGTTGACTGTAACCTTTAGTAACCAATCTAGGTTTGTTTCTCACTACAATTCCCATCTCATCCTTTTTGTTTCGGAAGACCCATTTTTGTACCAATTATTGATTTTTCTTTCGGCCTCGATACGAGTCTCCAAACTTGGTTACTTTCGAATTCTCGAAGTTCATCTTGCATAGCGTTATTCCAATCTGGATCTTGCAATGCTTCAGATGGCTTCTTCGGCTCTATAACACTAAGAAAGTTCACGAAAAGACACTCGTTAGTGGTAGCAGATCACGTTTTCACACTATCATTTACATTACCGATTATTTGAGTAGGGGATGATCTTTCATTTGCTTGTGAGTACAAGGGAGGGGTGTTGTTCTGATCATCATATTCATAAGTTACAGCTTGAATTTCACTTTCAACTTCAGTTTGAGTATCGGCAGATTCTTCTTCAGCTTGAATCTCAGAATGTTCAACTTCATTGGCAGGTTGAGAAGACTCAGATTGACAATATCAGAATGAACAATCTCTAGTTGAATTTGTGCCTCAGCTTGAACATTTTCTGATTCTGTAGTTTCATTAGATTCAGGTTGAACTGCATATGATGTTGAACAACTAGCTTCAGATGGTCCAGAAAGTTGAGTGACTTGTTGAATCAAGAACACTGGTTCATTCAACTTGGGTAGTTCAAATATCTCATATTCTGCAAGAATATCCCAAGTGAGATCAAATGTGTCTTTGAATAAAGAATCTAAATTTGATTTTTACAGTCAAAGAATTAGAATAATTTATCCTATTTGGTACAGGTTCTGCACTACTTTGTGTAGAAGCTAGTTGTTGTAGCTTGAGTCCTGAACTATTTGTTCAGAAGTCGAAGATTCATCGAATCTAACGTTGATGCTTCCTATGACAATCTTCGATGATTTGATGTTGATTCAGAAAGCTTTAGACTTTAACGAATAACCAATAAAGTAGCATTCTTTCACCTTCTTATCGAATTTGCCGATATTGTCTCGATTGTTAAGCACGAAACATCTGCATCCAAAAACATGACAATTTTTTATCATAGGCTTTCTTTTATTTATTGACTCATAAGAAGTTTTATTAAAACGCTTGACGATGACCGTTCGATTTTGCGTGAAACAGGCGGTAGACGCTGCTTCAGCCCACAAATACAGAGGTAAACCAGTGTAAGCCAACATAGTCCGAGCAGCCTCGACTAATGTTCTGTTTCTTCTTTCAACAAATCCATTTCGTTATGGAGTTTGAATAGCAGAAAAATTATGAGAAATCCCAACAGTTTGCAGAAAACATTGAAGGGTGTCGTTTGTTAATTCAGTGTCGTTGTCACTTTGAAGCTTTTGAACTGGAAGTTGTAGAAGAACTTGAATGCTCTTGATAAAAGAAATGATCATCTCCGGCGCATCAAATTTAGCTCTCAGAAACTTTTGCCACGTGTATCCGGAATATTCATCGACCATCACCAAGATGTACTTTTTACCTCTAAGCGATTGAGTACGCATTGGTCCATATAAGTCCATGTGAATCATTTCGAGAGGAGATTTACAAGATGAAGCAGCTTTTGCTTTATGCGATGATCTTGTAATCTTTCCCATTTTACATGCAGAACACATTGAGTTCTTATCAAATCTAAGTTCAGGTCGACCAATAACCAAATCACTACTTACAAGTCGATTGATATCTCTGAAGTTCTGATGAGATAATCCTCTATGCCATGTCAAATTGTCTTCTTTTGATGCTTTAGCGATTAAGCAAACAAGTTTAAAAGTAGTCAAAGTTGGAAAATTAATTGCATAAAGATTACCATAGCGTTCAGCTCTTATCACCTCCATCCCTTCAGAATCAATAATCATACAACTATTCACAAATAATTTTACATCAAACCCATTATCACATGAATGACTTATGCTTAAAAGATTATGCTTTAAACCCTCGGCATAAAAAACTTTCTTAATCGTGACAATGCCGTTTGACAATGTTCTGTATCCTCTCACAAATCCTTTTTCTTTATTACCAAATGTGACTGTTCCACCAGGATTTTCTTTAAAATCAGATAGAAGATACCTGTGTCATGCCATGTGTCTTGAACATCTTGAGTCTACGTACCGTACATGACAATCCTACAAAAACAATCACGGAGATTTAGGTACCCATTTCCAGATGGGTAATTTTGGGTTAGAAAGAATATTAGAAGATAAAGATTTAACGCGCCATTCATATTTAGCTTTTGGAACCCATTTCCAAACAAATCTAACATCAACAAATTATGGCTCCTTCTTTTTCAGTTTTGAAATGTTTTTCTTGAAAGCATTTTTCTTTTTAAGATCTGGAGGACCATTAAAAGCTTTTGCTTGGAGCTGGGTCTTTGAATTAAAATCAGAAATCTTTAACCCTAAGAACTTTTTTACATTTGGCGTTAACTGCAAGGGAGTTTGACCCACAATAATTGCAATGTATATGTCGCTTAGCAACATAAATAAGATCCGGATGATAATTTTTTTAACATTTTTAAGATCAACATCTAGATTACATTTTTAGTTCACAAGTTTACAGTTGCAACTATTTTTATTCACAGAAAAATTCTTTACAGAAGATGAATTATTTGAAACATTTTTCTCAATCTTCTGCCAAGACTTCCATTTGCAGTCTTTACCAATCTTTAATAGTTCTGCAACAGAAAAAGATTTTGTGTTAGTCAAGTGCTTCACAGATAAAGATTCAGTTTTAATAGATATTGCATTTAAAGCATATTTGACATTTTTAGGAGTAGCCTTAGAAATATTTCAGATTTAGTTTTAGAAGTCTCCCTTCTCAAACTTGCTTTTAGAAAGATTAGTTTTCTCAATAATAGTTGTTTTTGCTTTTGAGACAATCTGAGCAGCTTCTTAATTTTTGGCAAATGATCTTGAAGTTGTTTTGAGATCTTCCTCAAGCTTAGTGATTTTACTCATAAGTTGAGTCCTATCATCAAAACAAGAACTTAACTCTTTTTCCAAATCCGATTTTTTTTTTCTGTTGAACGCAAGCAAATTATGTTTACAGACAGCAAGCAAGGTCAACTCATAAATTTTTCTTTAAGTCTTTTGACTTGGATAGATAATCATTTTCAGCTTTAACGTGTAAATCTTTTTCAGCATGAAGTTCTTTTTCAAGATCAGAAATCTTTTTAAAATTCAAATAACTTTCAGAATTTGAATGCATATTCACATCCTGATCAATACTTTCTTCCATCTTGTCTGAATCATAAACCACCTCTATTTTCGATTCAAAATCAGACTCATATAAGAGATTTTCAAACAACTCAGGAGTCATTGATTCAATAAATTCATAAAGTTTTTCAGAATTGTTTTCAGATGATTCAAAAACAGATGAAGTTTGAACTCTTTCAGTTGGATATACCAAATCAAGTTTAATATGTGAAAATATGATTTCTCTAGTTTCATAACTGGAGTTAAGATCATCATATTTCATTTCAATTGATTTAAAATTTTTCTTTCTAGAAGATTCTTCATTAGTTTATCACTATCATCTTTATCAAAAATAGGTGATTCAGTCTCAGATTTGACAAAGATTTCCTACGTAGTAGGAATCACAAATTTTGCCAACCCCCTTTTGTCAAAATCATACAATGATTGAGGGACATTTTTCAAAGTATCATTTTTTATAGAACCCAAACCCATTTGAGGATTATAAAAACGAGTATCTTTTGGGTTCTTTGTCAAAATCTTCCGTGTTTGCTCAGACTTACCACTTTTGTAGTTATTATCTTCCAACTGTTTAATTTTATCATAAAGCTTCAATCTTTCAGCAAAAATAACGTCAAATTTCAACCGAATATTATGACGCTCACACTCAACGTTACCCAATTTATTTTTCAGCAACAAAAATTCATTTTCAAGTTTAGCCTTTTTAGATTTAAGAATTTCTTTTTCTTCTCTTAGACCCTCACTTAAGAATTTAAAACCACAACTTTCTTCTTGAGATTTCAGCATTAAAGTCCTTTCACCTTATAATATATCTTTCAAAATTTTAAACTCAACATTCATATTTTCAATTTCCTTCACGAGTTCAGCATTTAAAGAATTTACTTCATTCTCGTTTTCAGATGATGAGCCTTCGGCTTCAGTTCTTGCCATTAAGCACATGTTTACTTGAGTAAATGAGCAGCTTCATCATCTGACGAGTCCATCAGCCAGCTTTTCTCTTCAACTACCAAAGCCTTGCCGTCCTTAAGGGCTTTTGCCAGATTGGCCTTCTTGCGATAGTAATTTGATTCTTTGAACTTCTTGAACCGACAATCTTTGATGTAGTGAACATGCTTTCCACAATTAAAGCATCTACTCACTTCAGATTGAGCATCCTTCTAGTCTCTGGCTTTTCCAAACTTCTCTGATATGACCTCCTTTCCTTTACTCTTCTCAAACTTCATAAACTTCTTCTTCTTTCCAAACCTCTTTTGAAACTTCTGTGTCAACAAAGCAAGTTTCTTTGAGAACTCTCTGATGTCATCATCTAAGTCAGTAGAGGAATCTTCAGTTGATTCACTCTCAGTATATTCAGATAACTATGTCTTCAGTGACTTGGAGCACTTTTCTTCAGATTTTCCCTTTCCTTGCGTCCCTAACAGAAGAGCTAAGGAGTCAGCTACCTTCTTCTTTTCAGTCATTAGGTCTCTTACAGTTTCTTCTTGTTCGTATAGAATACTATACATATCATGAATGTCTTCTTCAGACATATTCTTGTTCATTTACAGATTAACTGCAAAAGAGTTCCATTTCGATGTCAAGTTCTTCAAAAACATGTAATTAATCTCAGACATGGACTTCTTAATACTGTTCCTTCTCAGGTCATTCAAAATAACATTGAATCTATTGTAAGATTCAGTGATAGTTTCATTCTCACGAGCCCTGAATCCCTCATAAGCACTAATGAA